TTGGCAAAGCATCAGGGACTGCGGTTCAATCCCCCAGCACCACATGCCAGCCAGCCCCACCCCCTGGTGGGCTGAGCTGGCCACACACACACCACACACACACACTCTCTCTCTCTCTCTCTCTCTCTCTCTCTCTCTCTCTCTCTAATAAATAAAAAAATAAAATAAAAAAAATAATTTTCATGTGCCACAAAATAGTGTTGCCCTTTAGAATGTCTTTTTTTCCCCCTGCCACTTAATTTAGAAACCATCCTTAAGTGCTGTGTATGGGCAGTGTAGAAAACAAATGCTGAGCTGGACTTGGCCTATGGGGTTGTAATTGCCAATCCTTTTACATGGCTTATTTAGAAAAATAATTTGACAACATATTCCTTTATTGTGAGCATGTAAAAATTCTTACCTGGTGGCATAAGTTTCATAAGCACTCTTGCTCCATCTCTAAGAGGTGGCATATTTAGGCTGCTACCTAAGTCTGCAACTTGCCAAAGGAAAGAGATGTATCTGGGATGCAGTGACATTATCTAGAATACAAAATATACAGAATGATCACCAGTAAATTACCACAAAAAGGTCCCGAAAATTAATCTGTTACCTTCCAAACTAAGTCCTTCATGATGCAGACTGAACACATCATTAGAGACAACACCAGTTACCACTCTGTGATAGTTTGTACTATTCTATTAAACTATTTGTCTTACAATTTATACTCCAGATATACAAAGAGCAGTGATGCGGGCTGGGGAAGACAGCTCAGTGGTCTAAGCACCTGCCTGACAAGTGCAAGGACCTGGGTTCAATCCCTGGTACCACATGCTGTGCCAGTTCAGGACCGAGTCAGTCACCAAAACTGGGGCATGGAGGTGCATGCCTATAATCCCAGTAATGGGGAGGTTGAGACAGAAGGATCACTGTAAGTTTGAGCGCAGAGCGAAACCCTACACCAAATAAAGAAAGAAAGACAGGTAGGTAGGTAGGTAGATTAAAAGAGCAGCAATGGCCACTTCCAAGTTCCCAATCTAACTAGCACAGGAAGCTGAATCCTTCTGATGCTAGAGGGGCTGGTGTAGTCATTAAATTTTTTGTGGGTAAGGGCCAGGAGAGAGAGCAAGAAAAGGAGTCATAGATTTGTTGGACACAAGCTATCTTTCTGACAAATCTGAGAAAGATTTCAGATACTTCCCAACATAAGTAAGTTTTTATTTTGCTTTTAAGAGATAGGCTCTGACTACCAAGTCCCAGCTGGCCTTGAACTTGTGATCATGTTGCACCATCTCTATAATGCTAAGATCATAGATGCGTGCCACCACACTTAACCTATAATAATGTTAAAGAATTATATGATACAAATAAAGTGTTACTTTTCTAAATTGATATACTCAAAAAAAGAAATGGATATACTCAAATGTTATAAATTAAGCCCTAATACATTCTATATAAACACAGCTACATTGTATCTATAGGAAAATGTTTTATGTTTACAATCATCTTCCAAAGGAATCCATCCTGAAGGTGAATCTTAACTGTAATTATAAGTATTAAAAAATATATACTTTTTTATTCTCAAAGATCTTGGCATAATGCCTTACATACAGATGTTCACAACAGAATCTACTCACTACTCCAGGTAAGCAGCTTTCTACTTCAGGATTGGGACCATCACTATAATGATTGCCATGGTTTCCAGGAGATCCAGTTGAGGAATCAGAAGAGCTATCAGGGCTTGAAGGCATATTGGAGCTGATCTGTGTAAGTTTGGCTGTAATTAGCTGAAAATACCAGACTACATTAGTATCAAAGTCAAGGAAAAATACATGAAACAAGACTTAGCACCTAAAAAAACCTCCCTTAAATGCTACACTTTTTATGAATACATTTTAGAAGTACTGTTTCATATAACCACTTAAGATTTGTTTAATACAACCACTAAGAGCTCTAAATCCTTTATTCTAATATACTGTGGGTGTCATGATGTCCATTACTGGCATAATCCGAATACCTTAACACATATCAAATAATAAGCACTTAATGATTAAGTGAAATATAGTCTCGAGTTTCTGTTAAAAAGTCTGATAAATATACTTACCGATTTATCTTTTAGGTTCAACTGTCCAATCAGCTTTCTATCATCTCCAGGATCTATCAGCTCTCCACCCACAAAGAGCTCAATTTTTGTATGGGCTACATTGGCTTTAATGCGATTAAGAATACATCGTCGAACTGAACCAATTGTATCATTGGTATGAGACCATACTTCCAAGTCATCTACCTGTCTGCCCTGGTTTGGAAATCGAACTATAAAAGAGAGGTGTTTACCGCGGAAAGCTCTGGTAAGAGGAAAAAGGAAAACATCAATTTAGCACTTTCAAATCTTTTTTCAAAGCTGGGAATTTAACATTGAATATTTTTTATTAAACAAAGAGGAATTAAATGAAAGACACATAATAGTACCCTGAAAGTTAAAATTGCTTTCAAAAACCCTATTATAAACAAGTTTCAGAACAAAATGATCACATTCCATTATCATTTTTGTATCTATTATAAAGAATGTGAATCTATTTATAGAAATTCAGAGACATTAACATTTTGTTAGTTTTTATGCCACACAAGCTTAACTCACTGGACTATTTGTAAATCTGTTCTGAAAAATTCTTAGTATCAAAATTCATATCAGAATTATGACATTGAACTCTTTTAGGTAACATACAAAACAGAAATCACAGAATCAATTCTATATAATTTTATTAACAGAACTTTTAAAAAAGTGAAAAACCAATGGTACCTTGCATAAACATCTCTAAACTATAAATGTCATTTGAATTATTCAACACTATTACCTTTAGGGAAATGTTATTAGACTATTTGAAAGTATTTTTTTCTATATTAGTTATCCATTCAAGCAGCTTTTAAGGATTCCAACAACAGTACTCTCTGATCTGACTGCTACTATTAACACTGTGAATGAATGGCATCAAAATAAAAACACTAATTGCAAAGTATCACTGTGACACTGAGCCATGTCAAAAGCAAAAAATCAAAAGCAGAGAAAATTGGCCTTAATGAGAATGACTTGCCAAAAAAACCCTAAAATTTAATCAGACCCTACAAGAAATGTCAATTATTAAAAGGATTCTGTAAGATACAAATAATAATTTTAATGGGCAATATAGTGACAATTTAAAGAATGATTTGTTCCTCGCTGTCCTTTTATCTATACAGATCCATCATTTTAAAGCAAAACTTGAAATGGTCAGGAAAATACCAGATGATTAAGAACTTGCACCAGCTGATGAGTTATTTACAAACCTAGACATGGGTAGAATAGTTCTTTCTTCATGATAATCGCTGTCACATTCATTTATATATTCTCTTAGAACAGTTAATACTCGAACCATTCGAACAGCTTCCTGTCTTGCACAATTAATACTGTCTTTGTCACCATCCAAAACACACAAAGTGTCATAAGAAGCTTTTAAACGATCAAAGCAAGACTGAATGAAGTCTTCATGTATCACCACCTAAATAGGTCAAATGAAGATAGTTCAAATTGATTTGAAATGCAAAAATATGTAACATTAATCCTACCAGGAGCAAAGAGTAATGCAATAATAGCTCTCAATTTTTTTTTTCTGAATTTAGCATAGGATCTCACTACACAGATTGGATTTGTAGTGATCTTCCTGTTTTCAGCCTCCTAAGCGCTGGGATTACAGACACGCACACCACCATGCTCAGTCTCATTAACTGTCTCAGCACACCTTAGGGTGGGGGTGGGGGGCTGGCACTGCACACTAGGGATCAAACATGGTCCCTCTGTCTGCCTAAACAGGCACTTTAATCTGCTTAAGCAGGCTGAGCTACTGGCCAGCCCTCAACTAATAATAGTCATATTTAAGCACAGTCTATATTGATGAAACATACCATGTTATGTAAATTTAAGGATTAACTCATCAGAACTGAACTCTAAAACATTAGGTGCACTAGTATCAAAACATTCACAATAGAATCCTTTTTGCCATTTGAAAATGTAATATATTTAAAATAAAGCAAGATTTAGGTATTTTATACAAGTGAAATACAGACTAAATATATTACACACCCCACTTTCTGTGATACTAGGGGTTGAACTTATGCTAGGCAAGTGCTCTACTACTAGCCCTTTCATTAGCTTTTCTTATTTTTGAGACAGTCTTACTAAATTTGCCCAGGGTGGTTTCAAACTTGAGACTTTCTGCCTCAGCCTCCCAACTAGCTAGGACTACAAGTGTAGGCCACCGTACCTGGCATGCTCAAGTGTGTGTGTGTATGTATGCATGTATTTGGTACAGGGTCTCACTACGCAGCTTGGGCTTGTAGTGATCCTCCTGTCTCAGCCCCCCCAGCACTGGGATTATAGGTGTGCGACACCATGCCCCAGAGCTATCTCCCCAGTCAAAGTTTTAATATGCACTGATCCTCACCTGATTGACCTGCAGCCTTGGGCCAAGGTTTGTATAGATCTCTTTGAGAAGATCTATAGCTCTGCTGGCAATATCATCATTACTCTGAATCACCACCTAGTTTCAAAAAGATTAAATGTTAACCTCTTCAAAAAATGCTTCACTTGAGGATTTATATTCAACCAACATCTTTTAATTTTAATACACTATTCAGTAACATAATCATAACTTGACCTTGATAATCAAGTAAAATTGAGAAAAATAGAAAAGGAAAAAAAAATACAAAATGTAAGTTTTTGAGAAAAATGTAAGAATGAAAGACATTTTACTAAGGGTAAAATATGCCTTGATATTTAACCATATTTAACGTATTTTACCATCCAAGGAGGAAATCAAATTAGCTTGAAGAGAATAAGAGACCTTATGAAATACACCTTAGCATAAAAGGCTATCTTTTCTACCCTTAGTTTCTATACATGTTTATCATTCATCTAATTACATCAGTGGCTTTCAAACTATGTTCAGAATTCTGGGACTCACAAGAAGTGTTTTAAGGCTTAACCCTATAAGAGGAGGAGGGAAAGATAACACAGCACTAGGACATGGAACAACAACAGCAACAACAACAAAAAAAACGCTTCCTTTATTCATCAGGGCATTTTGGACTGAATAATTTTTAAAAAGGGCTTCAACTACAGTAAGCTGATTTAGGAACATTTAAGTTGCAAACTTTCAGATGAAAACGGACCTAAACTCATGAATATTCACACTTATTAACAAATCGTGTAAGTGGCTTATATGTCTGCCAGACATTACGTCAGTTGTGCTGCTGTGTGCTTACTGTATGATGTGAGTGTACACTGATACAGTGTTCAGAGTCCAGGATGTTCAGAAGCAAGAGGCAAAGTAGTGATAATGTAGAGGGGATGCTACAAGCATAAAGCAATAACCATGGAAATAAAAGTGAAAATAATTGAGATTGGATGGAGGGAAAAAGATGGTAGATGACACTCGTTCTAATAACATGAATCATTCAACCATTGGCACAATTTTAAAGAACAAGGAATCACAGAACATGTCAAGTTTGCTGTGCCAATGAAGTCAACAATAATATTCAAAATACATGTAAAGTGACAGAGCAGATGGAGAAACTTCTCGGTGTGTAGATGTAGGATCAGCAACAAGTCCCACTCAGCTTAATGCTTATTCAACTTTAAAAAAACAGTGAACAGGGTGCCATCTTTCACTGTCAACAACTGTACATTTCAGGCTGGCCTCAAACTCAAAGCGATCCTCCTACCTCAGCCTCCCAAGTGCTGGGATTACAGACATGAGCCACAACCCACAGGCCCTATGGATGGCTTAACAATAGTTTAAAAAAAGTTTATTTGCAGTTGTACTGTACCACCACTTTAACTGTAAAAGTTTACACTATTTTTGTGTGCTTTAAAAAATGCTTTGTGTATTGTGTCGAGTGTGTAAGACTTGCTTTGTTGGACTAACAAACCAGACTTATGTTCCCCTGGAACAGAACTTGCTCATAAATTGGGGAATCACTATACTAAATTTGTGTGTGTGCAGTAGAGATGAACTCTAAGCATCAGGTGTGCCTAAGCACATGCTAGGCCAATCTTTACTGTTTTAAAAACATTGAAAACCACTTATTTAGGAAGTTTTAAATACTCAAAATGCCTCACTAAACGCTGTAATCAATAGATATTAGAAAAATATTTCACATAAACCTGAAAGGAAATAAAAATCCCTAATCCCTACATGTGTTGTAATAACATGTCAAATTTATAAAGATAGGAATACTATATAAACACTATAAAAAGGAGGATTAGCCTTAAACATTCCTCAGGTACTTAGAAGTATTCTAAGTTAAACAGTGCCAATAAAGGACACACTCATCCCTTCTAAATAAAGCCTTCTCTTCTGCCCTCTATTTTAGCCTCAAATGGAATAACAACCTAAAATTTACACTGAAGAGAAGGAAACAAGAGGTCCACACTGAAAACCGGACCAGGTAAATTGACTTGAATGGGGATTCATGGAAGATCTGTATGACTGGCACACTCCTGAACATATCTAAATACATAGATTCTAACATGAGACAATAGGAATACTAGCAGTAAAATGAGGGAGATCAAGAGAAACAAATCTCTTGTATGACAAATGACATAACATGAACAATTATCACCTGAGACACCTGAGCAGAATACACATACTTCACATGAAGTTATAATTCCTTACCTATTTAAATAACATCAGATACAATGTTTACAGTTCCTACTTCTGACTTACCCTCCAAAGATAGTCTAATCCTATCAACTCCAAATCATCCATCATATAGGCTCTCCTTTTTGCAACTAGTTTTCCTTCTCGACAATTCACAGCTTTGAAGAATCGCTCAAAACATTTCATTCCATTTTCAGTTAACAGGGAAGGATCAAGCTGAAGCACATTACTTTCAAAGAAGTCCTTATTAATATCAGGATCTAAGTCTGGTTCATCCCCCATCAATTTGGAATACCACTTAAAACAGGCTTCGCGATCACAAAGGTAAACTGCATTTTCAGCTAAGCATTTCCATATTTGTTTTGCTTGAGGGGCACATAGCCATAGTTGGCCATCCTTCAATAAAAACCTTGGAAAAATATTTTAAAAAGAGCAATTAGATTTACATAAGTTTTATTGTAAAAGGCAATCTATCTATATATGCATAAAACACCAAACTATTTTTTAATAATTACATTTTAACTATACATGAAGATGTTAGTTCTTTAAAAAAATTTCTAAATTTGTGTGTGTGTGTGTGTGTGTGTGTGTGTGTGTGTGTGTAACCAGGGATTGAACTCGGGCCCTTGTGCTTGCCAGGGAAGCACTTATTCCATTGAGCCATCTCCCTGGCCCCTCTAAAATTTTACCTGGTACCAAAAACATATGTTAATTCATTCAACAATCCTGTATTGGATACACACCCTGAATTCAGCCAGGTGATTAGGATTAAAACATAATCCTTCAACTCAAATAATTTAGTGCTTGAAACCAGTTATTTTCAAAGTATAGTTTATAAGTGATTTTTTTGGAGGGGGGGTAACTGGGAACTGAATTCAGGACCTTGTGCTTGCCAGGCAGGTGCTATACTGCTGAGCTATATCCCTGGCCCATGGTAATTTGATTTTAAAATAAAAGATTTAGCATTCCATTTATATGGTATTACCTAGAAGTGAGGTATTCAATGATGACTTTCACGGGTAACTAATCCATTGATTTTGTGGGTATTTATTTATTTAGGTACCAGGAATTGAACTCAGGATCTTGCACTTGCGAGGCAGGCACTTGTGCTGCTAAGCTATATCCCCAGCTCCTCCACTGATACTTACGAGTTAAAATTACCTCAATTTAATCACTTTCTAATGCTCTGTCATTCATCACTCAGTATCTGGTCACATTAAACACAAGTTATATGTAATTTAATTTTATGTTGATAATCAACAGGTTGCTTATTATTCAATGATATTCTCCAGGGTCTTTTTAGCATTTGACCTTACGTTTAGGTTTGAATGATAAAATTCGATAATAATGAAGGTGAATTCTTCTGCAACTTGTAACTGAAATCTCTTCCTAAGTACTCTTAGCATTCATCCATCATGTCTGCCCTGTCTATGAATGACATAGACAGTGAAGACCTCACTTTACTCAGTTAAAAACTACAGTTCATATACTTACTCTCATTAGGTTATCTTCAATTGTAAAGCATTTTTAGAATTGAATATTAGAATCTGGTACTTTCATGGGGTTTCTAACCTGAAAGGGTGCATGTAGTGTACAACTGTGCCTAGCCCAACCTACCTCTAATTTACAGATAAGGAAACAGGTTCAGTATAAGAAAATACAAGTGTTGGGGCAGGGGGGATAGCTCAGTAGAATAAGCACTTGCCTGGCATGTGCAAGGGTCTGAGTTTAATCCCCGGTTCCGCAAAAGAAAAAGAGAAGAAAATGCACGTGCTTTTGTTGTTTCTTTCAATTTTGTTTTTCAAATACAGCAGCAGCAAATTTTCCTTAAGTGAAAATTCTATTTGAAAATGTGATGCATAAAGGAAGTGCTCCATTTGTTGTGTGTGTGTGTGTGTAGAAATGGGAATACTTTCTACTGCTTGATGAAAAATCTCTGAAGAACCTATTCAGAGCCCTAAAACTCCGAGTCTGAAAAATTACTGGTTTAACAGAAAGGGCATACACTTAAGTCAGACCTGAGAAATTTTCATCACATAACATGATGCCAAACAAGCTACTGGAAGCCATCTGAATTTTGTTTCCATACTGATCAAATGCAAGCAAACCTACTTTGCTGTGCTCTGAAATATGTAGTTTTTAGCACAGGCTGAACATACAGCAGACATTACTAGGTTCCTCTGCCTTAAGGAAGTTGCTATAGGTCATAAAGATTAGTACTCACAGAATAGGGGTCTTCTGCATTTCACTTAGTGAAGAGCAGTTTATTATTGTTACTCTCTGATTATAAGTCCTTGACAGTATTTCTCTTTTTTTTTTTTTTGGCAGAACCGGGGATTGAACTCTGGTCCTTGTGCTTGCCAGGGAAGCTCTTATTCTACTGAGCCATCTCCCCAGCCCAATAGGGGTCTTCTGATTCCAAACTTAAATATGGAAAAAAAAGGGCTTGCAGCCACTTTTCTGTTATAGTAAATTGAAGGAAAACAACATATGCCAATCACTAACAATGACCCGCCACAGCAGTGATTTCCACTTTAGGGAGGCAGCCACTCCTATTCAAGTGGTTGAAAAACAAAACACTACTTGATTTTAAATAAATGTTGCCTTTCTAAAAATTTGGTGGATAGGTTTTCTCAAACTAAAACCATTATGTAATTACTCGAATTTCCCCATAAGCAATCAGAGTTGAATAAAAATAAGGTCATACTTAATAAAGCCTGGGAAAATAAATACCCTCTGGAACATGTATCAAAATAATAACAGATTTTCTAAAGTGTTGATCATTTGTACATTTTTTTGCATACTTATAGCAAGAATAGATTCTTGCCACATAGAGTTTTTGAATTCATAAGGTACCTGTCATCATGTAAACCTTTAACCACAAGGTGATTTTTATTTTTTTCCACAAGGCAATTCCTAAATAGTTAAATGTATTTGTTAAAACCAAAGTTATCACTTATGGAGCCAGGAGATAGCTCAGTAGGATAAGTGCTTGCCTGGCAAGCACAAGGGCCTGAGTTCAAACCCCGGTTCTGCAAACAAACAAACAAACAAACAAACACAAACAAAGTAAGTTATCACTGACCAAAGTCAGCTTGAGACATTTCACTTTAGTTTAATGGAATAAATCTATTTTACTCATCTTCAACAGAAATTATGTTAATAACACAACTTCATCTTGCCTTCATCACTTATTCTACCAAGAAGAAAAGTTAAAACTCAGCCAATAATTTTAAAAGTATTCAGTAATGAACAGGAAAATGTGTGACTCTAGGAATGAATTTTATGTAAGGAAAAAAAAACATGGAGGAAAAAGACCACCCAACAAAGATCTAGCTATATATAGCACATGTGCTCTGCATTCCTCATCGGGGTCTTAAAAAGAGCAATCCTAATTATGTAAAACAAACCTAAGGAAGTTAAGCCGTTCTTGGACTTCTTGAACATGACTGTATCTACTTCCAAGCCTCACAGTCTGTGGGTCATAGTCTTCATGGTCTGCAAATTAAGAAAAATAATGCATTATACACAGATATCTACACCACCGCTGACTTCAACCAAAGGAACTATCAGTCAAAAACAACATTAATCCTTTCTCATAAGAGGGTACCTTGAAATCCACTAATAACTAATTGCTAATCAAAAGAAAATGACTCATTAGGGGCTGGTGAGATGGCTCAGTGATCTAAAGCACCTACTTAGAACAAGCTTAGCAAAGCACAGGGACCGCGGTTCAATCCCCCAGCACCACATGCCAGCCAGCCCCGCCCCCTGGTGGGCTGAGCTGCTCCCCCCCCACATAAATAAATAAAATTTAAAAAAAAAGAAAATGAGGGGGCCTGGTCCTAGCTCAGTCCTTTAAGTGGCTGCTTCCACAAAGCTGTCAGCCTCAGGTTGCTGGAGTTCGAACCTCACAACTCTCCCGCTGGCCACAAGTGCCCTGAAGGCATTCGAGGAACAACAACAACAAAAAATCCTTATTATTAAAAAAATTTTTTAAAAATGACTCATTAAAAGTGCTATTAAAAATAGTTCTATAGCAAAATCCTTTTACTCAATCTTCATATACAATGAAGCAATTTATGGATTAAGCTTAAGACTGACCCAAGTGGTCCATAAATACAAACAACCAAAACAGAAGGACTTTTTTTCAGCTTCAGCTTGGTATACTAAAGTAAATTTTTAGAAATATTACTGATATTAAAAATATTACTTAGGAAGTTAGATTAACAGAAGATATTACTCCATATGACTAATATGCAATTATCAGCAACACCAGGTTATAAATAGCCAGAAAATGTATCATTTTCCATTAGCATTAGTTACTAGTATTTCTATGGCAGACCCTGACTTTATAGTATGCATACTACTGCCAATAGATTCTAATTGTGTGAGGCCTTTTGGAAATAATACAAATATTGTCTTGAAAGACTGCTAGGATATTTCTCAACAAAATATTGACACACTATAAAGATTGGACATTTACAATGTCTGAAAATTAAGGTTTTTATGTTCTAATGAAGACACATTTGAGCAAATGTTTCCCATTTACATAAATATTATCTGCCAGCATTCTTTCTTTTTTAATGTATCTGGTACAGGGGCACACTACGCAGCTCGGACTCGCAGTGATCCTGTTTTCAGCCTCCTCAGTGCTGGGATTACAGGTGTGTGCCACCACACCCAATCTCAGTGGCCAGCTCAGCATGCCCAGGGGTGGGGCCAGCATGGCATGTGGTGCAGGAGATTGAAACTCAGTCCCTATGCTTGCCTTGTAGATGCTTAGTCTGCTAAACTATCTCACTGGTCCTTCTGCTAACAGTCTTAGGTGTGTTTAAGGCCTGTTTTCTTTTAAGAGCATTATACTTTCAGTTAACTGCCTCAGATTCATTTTCAGTCATTTTTACACATGGTATACAATGATAAAAAACATTTTTTAAAATACACGTTATTTCATGGAAGTCAGTTTCGTAAGGGCTCATGACTTAAAGCACTATTTCAAGAGTTTTTCCTTAGGAAACTGGAAATCCTATTCTATGTAAGATTTTTCTTTTACCCTACTAGTCTTGTAGTTTGATTCATATGTGACTTCCCTGTGGAGGTACTTTTAATACTGGTGGTTTAATGCACAAGCTTTACTTGCCAAGTTTTTAGGGGAAACCTTCAATTTTAGTAATTTCAAACAAGTTAAAAAAAATTTCCAAAAAAAAAGGGGCTGGGGAAATGGCTCAGTGGAATAAGCGCTTCCCTAGCAAGCGCAAGGGTCTGAGTTCAATCCCCGGTTCCGCCAAAAAAAAAAAAAAAAATTCCCTTATATCCTTTACACACATTCACTAATGGTTTACATCTTACTGCATTTGCTTCCACATACATAAATGTACATGTAATTTTTCTAAACAAAGTGATTTGGACACATGTCATTCTACCCTCAAGGTTGGAATTAGTACTGCTCAAGGTTGCAATAAATAAATACTGCATTTCCAAATAACAAAGAAATTAGCACTGACAACATTTAGCTCAAGGTTTGTCAATTGTACACTATGATCATTTTGGGACAGATAATTCCTTGCTGTAGATGACTATCCTGTGTATTATAGGATGTTTAGCAACACCAGTATCCCTGCAGTATCACTGCTCCCTCCCAAAGTTTAAACAACCAATATAGCTTGAGATATCAAATATTTACCCCATCCCTTTAGTGAATCAAGGATTGAATCCAGACCCTACATTCCAGTTTCATCAGTTTTAATTTTCACAATAAAATCATTTTATGCTTTCTTTTCTCCTAGTCGAAAATGAAATATACACTGCATTTATCATCTTTTTATTCTTTAATGTGGAGAATTAATAATTTTTTTTCTTGACCCTTTTGAAAACTAGAAGCTCAGGCTGGTCAGACAGCGCAACAGATTGAAGCACCTGCTCAAGCAGATGCAGGGCCAGGGTTTGATCCCTGGCCTGCTGTGCTGGCCCCACCCCTGGGGCATACTGAGATGGCATGGCAACATGCTCCTATAATCCCAACAGTTGGGAGATTAAAAAACAGGATCACTACAAATCCAATCTGGGTAGTGACACCTTATACTAAATACATAAAAAATAGTGCTAGTTAAATAAAAAAACTAGAAGCTAGTTTTGTTGTTACTGTATTTGGGTGTCTATGATGTTTTCCTATTAGATTCAGCCTATAACATTCTGGCAACAATCATCACAACAGTGACACTATATCTTCTTCATTAACAATCACAAAGCTAACTTTGATCACAATGGCAGAGTAGTTCTATCAGGTTCCTTCACTGATAAGTTACTTTTTATACCTGCTACTTTTAGCAAACAATCCCTGCTTCCCTTTTTACATTTAATTGCCAACATCCTAGACACAGGATAGAACTTTGGGGACTTTCAAAAAACTGTACTTCAGGCTAAATGAATAAACAGGCCTTCTCATTACAGACAAGCTTTAGGGTTATTAAAACAAAACAAAACAAAACAAAACAAAACAAAACAAAACAAAACAAAAACAGGGCCGGGGAGATGGCTCAGTGGAATAAGCACTTCCCCAGTTCCGGAAAAAAACAAAACAAAAACAAAAACCATGGCTAGGTGGCACTTTCATTGCAAACATTCAGTTCTGGTATCTTCATTTGTTAACAGTCAAATGAGGAGGAGGATCCATTTCTGACTTAGTTGTCTAAGTGCCTGATATCCCATTGAAAACAGCAGAAGGAATTAAAAGACAAAATTAACTCCAGTGTCTTTGAAAATAGGTGTGAAGAGGTGGTGAATCATGGTTGAGACTAACACAAATTGGTTCTTGTCAGTACTGTCTGGGGCCCATTTTACAGCTCACAAAACAGTTCACCTACACACCTGTAATCCCAACTACTCAGAAGGCTGAGATGAGAGGGCTATAAATTCAAGGCCAGCCTGGGTAACTTAGAAAGATCTTTCAAAATGTAAGGGCTGAAGATGTAGCTCAGACCTTCCTGTTCAATTCAGTTAAAAGGGGGGGGGATTACTTTTTCTTAAAAAAAATACTAAAATACAACTCCACAGTGGTAGCTGGGATCAAATCCAGGTCCACACACATGCCAGACAAATACTCTAGCACTGAGCTATATTACCACCACTTCTGAAAAACTCAAAACAAGGTCTTAATGACCTGTCTACTTCATCCTCGCACACACAATCCTTCAGCTTTAGCGTCTTGAGTACCTGGGATTACAGGCATGAACCATCATATCTTGCTTAAAAACTCCAATTTCTCAGTAAAGTGGGATAATTATCACCAGTCTATGTTTACATTTTTCAAAAAGAAACTGTTCAAATCACTCCTCTCTATTATCCCCTACCTCCAGCCTTTGGTCTATTTGGGTGCATTTCATAGAAATATAACCATGTAATTAATATGTGGTCTTTTCTGACTAGCCTACTTTCAAGGTTCATACATGTTGTACCACATTTTTTTTTTCGGAACCAGAAATTGAACTCAGGCCCTTGTACTTGCCAGGGAAGCACTTATTCCACTGAGCCATCTCCCCGGCCTCTTGTACAACATTGTGTATTACCTTTGTAAATGAATTTCAGTACTCATTTTATAGACATGTTTTTTGGGTTTTTTTGGTGGTACCAGGGATTGAACTCTGGACCTTGCACTTGCCAAGCAAGCACTTATTCCACTGAGCTATCTCTCCAGCCCCTATTTTGCTTATTCACCCATCAACTAACAGGCATTTGGACTGCTCCCACTTTTTGGCTGTGATGAACAATGCTGATATGAATATTTATTATATGTACAAGTTTGTGCATGTACTTCTTTCAATTTCACTAGAGTATATTACTGGAGATGGATCATATGGTAAACTAACATTTTTGAGGAACTGCCAGGGCCAGGGAGATGGCTCAGTGGAACAATAACTTCCCTGGCAAGTGCAAAGGCCTAAGTTCAATCCCTGGTTCCATTAAAAAAAATTGAGCAACTGCCAACCCATTCAGCAAGGTTGCTGCACTACTGTATAACTCCATAAGTAATATATAAAGTACTTTCTCTACATCCTCACCTACACTTGCTGTTGTCATGTCATCTCAGTAGGTGTGAAATAGCACATCTTACTACGGTTTTCATCTGCATTCCCCTAATAACTAATGATATGAAGTATTCTTTTCAAGTAGTTATTGGCCCTCTGTCTTGTCTTTGGAGAAATTACTATTCAGGTTCTTTGCCCATTTCCTTACTTGGGCTTAAAAAAATTCTGACTTTAACTTTAGAAGTAAAGCCCTTTATATATTCTGGACCCATGCCTCTTATTAGATATGATTTTCAAACATTTCCAACCATTCTTGGGTTGTCTTTTTACTCTCTCGATACTGTGTTTATGTGTTAATAAGCTGGACAGTCTACTATACCATCCCTCCAGTTTTTCCTTCTAACCAAAAATCTCACAGACTCCAGTTTTCTGGTGATAAGAAAGTATTATACTTTTAATGTTAACTGCCTA